AACCGACTCAGAACGGTGTTCCCGGAGTGGTCTTTTGACTTTAGGGAATAGCCAGAAGCCGCACGGTGCTAAATTAAGTGAATACGGTGGTTGTGGAACGATATGGGTTTCAATTTTGCTGAACACTTTACGCAGACTCAACGCAGTGTGAGCTGGCCCATTCTGTGTTGTCGGTATCAATCGAGATCAGACGGGGGTTCGAGGTCCCAGTTGAAATTCTATCATTAACACGGTCACTATTTGAAAAACCCCGGTTTGCTAGCAAGAAATATTAATTTTTTTGGACGTGACCTTCATCGTTTGAGGTTGAGGGTCGACCAGAGGGCTTTGACAATTTCTCTGCCTTCTTTGAATTGCTTATACCACTTGTAAACATTTCTTTTCAATATAGGAATGATCACCGAATGCCTTCTGCAACATTCTATACGTTTCCGCAAACAACATTTAACGCAAGTTCTTTGCTCAACTAATTCAGACATTTAAAAAATCACCGGAATCAGTTTTAGCGTCTCACAAAGCCAAGTGTAATTCAAACACTAATGAATATTTTACGTCAAATTTCACACATGTCTAGGATAGTGCCAGCAACCTAAAACAACAAAAAAAAATTGAAAATCCATAAGTTACTGGAATTTTAAATTGAAAATTGGTCTTAATTTTTTGGACACAGTAATATGCATGTATATGTATATACGTATGTATATATCCATGTATATACACATATACATTTCTACTCTTTTTCCACTGTATTACAGAAAGTACTTTATAAATAATTGTCATTCATTTTTTTCAATTCCTTCTATTAGCTCACACTCTCTCTCTATATATCTTATATATAAATTTTCAGTCGTTAATAAAATACTTTTTATTCATTCATTCAAGCTCAAATACATTTTTTTTAACTTGTAGTGGGACACTTGATGTTGATACAGTTTTTTCAAATAGTAATTCATTAATTAAATTTAATTAATTCATTTTAGTTATTGGCATTGGCGTGGATGTTTGTTAGTGGTTCGGAATCCACTTTAAACTGTAGGTCCCGGTCTGTTTAGCCCTCGTGTGCACAAGATGTCAGAAGAGAGACAAACCAAATCAAAACAAACCACAATTTTCTTTCGAATTTTGAATGTTACCGGTCAAATTCTTTCAAAGATCTCGCTCAAATTTTGATAGTGAGCTAATTACCTTTACTTCCAGACGGACGCATTGTTCAAATACCCCTCTCTGACTTCAAAGACTTCCAATGTGAATCTGCTAAACCCCAACCCAGTGCGAAAATATCATTCTTCTATTATTGAAGTCGTAGACAGGGCTTTCTTTTCTGCAAGAAATCCTTTTGTCAGGCAGAAAAGAGTCGATTCCAACGAACGGCTATCTTTGTTTCGCTTTAAGGCGGGAGGGGGGTGAAAAAAAAAGGAATGTCTGCTCGTGGAAGTTTTGGGACTGGACAAAAATTCTGGAAGGAAAAAAGAAATAAAGAAGACTTTATTGTTGTAATTCTTATACTGTTCTTTTATCCCTTTGCAATTTCTTTTGTTATAGGTGTATTTGGAACCTTTTTTTTAATTACAAACGAAGAGAAAGTTGCGATATTTTTTAAAAACATCTAAACTTGTTTCCATGATGAAATATTCTTTCTAGAAAAAACGACAGAAATTCTAAATTCATTTGTTCTCTTATTCTCGGAAAATATTTTTGAATGAAAAAAAATTGTCATTCGAAAATTATTATTATTACTTTATTAAACTTTTTAGTTATTCTTCGCATTTTAACCAAAGTACATTCCTCACCGTTTCTGGCAAGGTTTCGAGTTTGGCACAATTTTCTTTCGAATTTTGAATGTTTCCTGACAAATTCTTCCAACGATATTGCACGACTTTGATAGTGAGATAATTACCCTTTCTTCAACTTAAACGCATAGTCCAAATACGCCTCTCTGACTTCAAAGACTTCGAATCTCAATCTGCTAAACCCCAGCCGGTTAAGAAAATGTTATTATTCTATTATTCATGTCATAGACAAATATATAAAGTGTTGCTTAAAAAGGCTTACATTTTTCTGAGGAAACTTTAATAATTGTTTACTTTATTTATGTATATTTATTATGTATTATTTATTTATGTTATTTATGTTATCAATGCTTCGAGGAACTAAAATTAAAACTAACTAAACTAAAATTATTTACTACCACAATTTTCTTTCGAATTGTGAATGTTACCAGATAAATTCTTCCAACCATCATGCACAATTTGGATGGTGAGCTAATGACCTTATCTTAAAGTTGGACGCAAATTGGACGCTGACATTGTCCAAATACCCCTCTCTGACTTCAAAGAGTTCAAATCTCAATCTACTGAACCCCAACCCAGTGCGAAAATATTCTTCTTCTACTATTCAAGTCGTAGACAGGCCTTTCTTTTCAGCAAAAACTCCTGTTTGGCAGGCAGAAAAGAGTCGATTCCAACGAATAGCTTCTTTTGTTTCGCTCGATGACGGGGAAATAGGCACTCCTGCTCATGGCAGTTTTTGGACTGGACAAAAAATTCTGAACAAAGAAAAAGAAATAAAGACTTTAATGTTGTAATTCTTATACTGTTCTTTCATCCCTTTGCAATTTCTTTTTGTTATAGGTGTATTTGGAACCTTTTTTTTTAATTACAAACGAAGAGAAAGTTGCGATATTTTTTAAAAACATCTAAATTTGTTTCCGAGATGAAATATTCTTTCAAGAGAAAACGACTGAAATTTTAAAATCATTTGTTCCTCATATTCTCGGAAAATATTTTTCAATGGAAAAAAAATGTCATTCGAAAATTATTTTTTCTTTTTTATTATTTTCCTTCATTAAACTTTTTTCAGTTATTCTTCGTGTTTTAACGAAAGTTTATTCCTCTCAGTTTCTCGGGCGGCCTGGTGGCCAAGCAGGTCTTTGATGTCACAGGCTTCTAGTTCGAATCCTGAAGGTGGCATGGATGTTAAATAACCATAATAAAGGTCCGTGTGCTCAGAACATGTTTATTCTGGCCTTCTAGTAAAAAGTACACAAATCGCTATTTTGTTATTTAGATTTTTCGATTCCTACTATTACCTCACACTCTCCCTATATATATCTTGTTCCAATTTTCAATCGTTCATAAAATACTTTTTATTCATTCACTCAAGTTCAAATACATTTTTTAAAACTTGTAGTGAATGACAATTGATGTCAATATATTTTTTTGAAATATTACTTAGTTAATTAAATTAAATTAATTAATTTTAGTTTTTTTTCAGATTTAAGTTGCATGTATCTACCAATAGAGGGCGCCAGATGTAAGAGGAAAATAAAAGGACTTTCTGCAATATAGTGGAAAAAAAAGTAGGAATTGACATAATTTTTTTTTTTTTTATATTTCTGGCTTTTGATATATTTGCCTCTAGGATTACCGGAATCACGCAAATCTTTCTAATTTCTTAAATTTTAGCGCCAGACTGGACACCAGCATGCCATTGTAGTATATTCGGTTTATAGGATGACGCACAATCTTTTTTTCGGGACAAGTATCCATATCCTCTAGCCGTTACTTGTGGCCTGATAGCCAATTGACTAGCGCTGTAGCTTTTGGTACTTCAGTCTTCTGGTTCGAATACTGGCCGTGGCATGAATGTTTGTGAGTGGTTCGAAATCCACGTTAAACTGTAAGTCCCGGTCTGCTTAGCTCTCGTGTTCACGAGATAACCGTAGAGAGACAAACCAAACCAATCTCTGTTTCTGGGAAGGTTTTGAGAATCTTCAATATTAATTTTTTTTTGTAGAAGCATAGAGGGTGCCTGATGGCCGAGTGATTGGCGCTTTAATGCTCGGTGCCACATGTTTCGGGTTCGAGACCCGGCGCTGCTATGGATGTTTGTAGTGGTTTGGAATTCGCTTAAAATCGTAGGTCCTAGTCCAATATGTTTGTAGAGCGTTGATCGTAGTGCGGGTACAACCCTACCCCATAAAAAGAAAGCGTCCGGATGGCCAATTGGTTAGCTCTTTGGGTTTGGTAAAACAGGCTTCAGGTTTGAATCCTGGCGATGTCCTGGATGTTTGTGTGGGGTTCGGAATCCCCTTTAAATTATAGATCCCGGTGTAATTAGCCTTAAGTGTGCACAGAATGATCGTAGAACGACAAATCAAACCATAAAAAGAAAACATCTGTCTTAAATTCTGCGAGCAGGCAGAGGGCTGTTGCCCACCATGAGGCTGTTGCGCCGCCGATGATGATGATGAGGAGGAGGAGGAGGAGGAGGAGGAGAAGAAACATAGAGCTTAGTCTGATTTGGATCAATGGATGTTATCGGAAAGCAATAAAAGAAGAGAACGTAATGGACATGAAATATATTAATTTTAATTAGTTATGATCTTCTTCTCCATTGGCACGGCAGCCCCATGGTGGGCAAAGCCCATGCTTACTGGCAGATTTCAAGATAGGAGATGTGCTTTTTTTTACGGGGAAAGGATGTCGGCCTACGCTCTGCAGTTACATTAGACGAAGATTTAAGACTTAAAGGGTATTCCGGACCACTATAACATCCATGGCACCACCAAAGAACCTTTATTCGAAATATAAACATCGGTATTTGCATAATTTTAAATAGAGAGATGTTCGAAATGTCCCCCGCGCATATGGAAGCATGCAAGAACTGTACACGTTCTAGCATCGTAGTGTCCACAAAAGTAGACACACTATGGAAACGAGCAACTAAATCCATTTCTGAAGTAACTGGATCTCGATAAAAAAAATTCCCTTAGATGACCCCATAGGAAGAAATCTAAAGGGTTCAGATCTGGACGTTGGCTTGACGTCATTTCACGTGCCTCATTACGCGTGTTACACATTTTAAAACATCTTCCTATGTAAACTTATGCAAATAGTAAAATAAATGTGCATAAGTCTACTAAAGTTAGCAAATGCTAGCAAAAATGTTGATAAAGTTACTTAATGTCTAGTTACTATTTGTTTATTTGTTTTAAAGCCAACGACCGTACCATGCTGAATATACCGGTTCTCGTCAAGCATCATTGGGCGCCGTCAGTACTTGGGTGGGTGACCACCTGGGAACACCGCGTGCCGTTGGCATTCACAAATTTGGGACCTGAATGACCGAGTGTCTAGCGCTCTGGCGCTCGATGCCACAGGTTTCGGGTTCGAATCCCGGCGGTGCCATGGATGTTTGTAGTGGTTCGGAATCCACTTTAAGCCGTAGGTCCCGGTCTCCTATGACTGTAAGAGCGTCACGGAGCCAAAGTCAGACTTGTACCAATGGGTGCTCCATCACAACAGAAGCTGCTTCCTTCCCCTTCAATCATGAGTACGTATGGGCTCGTGGGCTTGGCCAGCCAAGTGGGAAAAGAAACAACAACAACAACAACTATTTGTTTTAGTAACGATGTTCATGTTACGAATGAAGACTTTTTTCGTAAACCCGATATGGCGTCATACATTTTCTCTCGCGTATTTCTCGAAAACTATGGGTCGCAGAGATATAGTTCTTTTGGCATTTTTTATGTATTCCAAACAGCGAATATGGCTGTGCAGAGTTTATTGGGTTTTGCTGGGACACACTGTATAAATTAGTCTGGTTGGAGAGCTGTTCAGCAAAGACGAATAACTGTGTGGCACCGTGAAGACATTAGAGAGTTTTTGCATACCGTACGTTAGGTTACCGTAGGACGTCCGTTAGCTTTTTCTCCCTAGCGCGCATGCTCAGTTTCCTATGAGCCTGCGCGCTGGGAGAAAAAAAGCTAACGGACGTCCTACGGTAACCTAACGTACGGTATGCAAAAACTCTCTAGTATCTCAATACCTTGGAGGTAAATCTATTGTAATGTGAGTACTGGGAAATCTCGTTTACCTGTATGACAAGGGGCGGGTGTAGGTCAAAACTTTTCTGACACTCGAGGCAAATTTTTTAAACCGACTTATAACCCTTGACTCTTTACCATAATTTTATGAACTACGATATTTACTAAAGGATTTATAAAATTTGGGAAATAATTTCAATTACTCTTATTTTACTCGTATATCTGTTAAAAAAATGTTTTTTTACAAAGTAATTTTTATAGTTTTACAATTGTAGTACTTGTATTGACCTGAAAGTTATCCTTGTACTCTAAATCTTATAAATATATCTTATAAAAAGAACAGTACTAAATTAAAAAATAAAAAATTATTAGAGAATAGCCGATGGCAATGAAAGGAAATTATACATTTTGCAAAGTATTGTACAAACGATGAAAATTGCGAATTTTCGAAACTATTACATTGATTAGGGAAAATTGTACGTCTTACGAATTATTGTGCAAAATGTACAATTTTGAAAATAGTATATTGATTAGTAAAAATTGTACATATTGCACATTTTACAAAGTATTTTACAAAATGTAATATTTTGAAAATGGTACATTGATTAGAGAAAATTGTGCATTTTACAAAGATGCTATATTTGTAACGCATTAAATAGTTTTTTTTTTTTTTTTTTTAAATACAATACTCCTATAAGATTTCCTTCAGTGCTGATCTCAGATCTCTTTACTACTGCGCCCCAAAAAGTAAGGCCAATTATTTTTTTAAACACTCTTTATTTATTCTTCCAAATTTATTTCATCGCATTCAAAGTAATCCTCTCCGGACACAATGCACTTATGCCAACTTTTTTTTCCAATCCTCAATGCGTGCTAAAAAGTCATTGACAGGGATTGCCTTCAAAGGGTCGATTCACGTTGAATATCTTCAATCGACTCAAAACGGTGTCCCCGGAGGGGTCTTTTGAGTTTAGGGAATAGCCAGAAGTCGTACGGTGTGAATACGGTGGTTGTGGAACGATATGGGTTTCACTTTTGGCGAATGAGTCACGAAGAATCAATGCAGTGTGAGTTGGCGAATTCAGTGTTTTCGGTACCAATCGAGATTTGACGGGTTTGAGGCCCAAACCGATCCTTTTAAAATTCCAACATCATCAGCAAGCTTTCTAATTGTAAATTGACGGTTTGCGAGCCCCAAATCTTTAATTCTTTGGACGTGAGCTTCGTCGGTTGAAGAGGATGGTCGACCAGAGGGCACTTTATCTTAAATGCGTTCTCTCCTTCTTCGAACCGTTTATTCCCCTTCTAAACATTTCTTTCCGATATAGGAATGCTCAACGAATGTTTTCTGCAACATTCTATACGTTTCCGCAAACAAAATTCAATGCAAGTTCTTTGCTCAATGAATTCAGACATTTCAAAAATCGCCGGAATCAATTAAAGCGACTTACACATTCAAGCGTAACTCCAACACTAATTAATATTTTGACGTCAAATTTCACACGAATGTTAAGGGCAGTGTCAGCAACCTAAAAAAATGAAATTCTATAATTCCTGGGAATTTTAAATTCAAAATTGGTCTTTCCTTTTGGACACAGTTGTATTAGCCTTAGTGCTGAGAAAAGTTTCTCAACACTTACTTGTTTTGTTGCTAAGACCTTAAACTGTCTTTGGTTGTAATAATGCAGGGTACAATTTTATTTCCTTATTAGCATTTAATTTTAATAATAATTCTCAAAATTTTGAAAAAATAAATATTATTTTTATAAAAGAGTCGAATTTTTATATGGTCTCCTGACCCCGACTTCCTATATCTTATTTCAATTGTCACTGTGATAATGTGCAACATTGATTGTACTTGACTCATGAAAATAAAATACTTTTGTTTTTATGTAATGCCCTATCAGATATTAAAAAAAATATTCCGTCATGTGTTCTAAGAAAATAATTTAATGTCGTTTTCATTTAATGGAAAGCTGATATTATATTATCTAAAATATTTTGTGAGATAAGTTTTAACACGTTTCTTTTAGGATTTATATCCGATTACTGGAACTTTAGTTTCTCTAAACGAAATTAGGTTAAATTAGAGTCATGCAGTAAAAAAAGGGAGCTTTCGTGGAAAAACTTAATGGGTCAGATAATTCGATTTACAATTTAGTTTTTGTTTTCATTGTCGGATAAAGTAACCGAAAATAAAGTCTTCTTATATTTACAAAAGTTGGTTTTTTAGGGGTATAAATAAAAGCATCTTTTGTGTACTAATTTACATTTACAAAAATGGTTTTCATAGGACGTAAACAAAAGCATCTTTTGTGTACTAATTTCCATTTACAAAAATGGTTTTCTTAGGCACATAAATAAAAACATTTTTATGTACTAATTTGCGTTTACAAAAATTGCTTTCTTAGGCACATAAATAAAACCTTTTTTGTGTACTAAATTGCGTTTATAAAAATGGTTTTCTTAGGGACATTTAATAAAATAATTTTTTATGTACTACTTTCCATTTACAAAAAAGGTTTTCTTAGGGACATATATAAAAGCATCTTTTGCTTACTAATTTAAATTTACAAAAATGGTTTTCTGAGGCACATAAATAGAAGCATTTTTGTGTACTAATTTGCTATTATAAAAATGGTTTTCTTAGGCACATAAATAAAAACATTTTTGTGTACTAATTTCCATTTACAAAAATGGTTTTCTTAGGCACATAAATAAAAGCATTTTTGTGTACTAATTTACATTTATAAAAATGATTTTCTCTTGTCATATAAATAAAACCTTTTTTGTGTACTAAATTGCGTTCATAAAAATAGTTTTCTTAGGGTCATAGGGACATTTAATAAAAGAATTTTTCATGTACTACTTTCCATTTACAAAACAGGTTTTCTTAGGGACATATATAAAAGCATCTTTTGCGTATTAATTTAAATTTACAAAAATAGTTTTCTTAGGGACGTAAATAAAAGCATTTTTGTGTACTAATTTGCTATTATAAAAATGGTTTACTTAGGCGTATAAATAAAAGCCTTTTTGTGTACTAATTAGCGTTTATAAAAATGGCTTTATTAGGGAAATATATAAAATCATCTTTTGTGTACTAATTTCCATTTACAAAAATGGTTTTCTTAGGGCGTAAATAAAAGCATTTTTGTGTACTAATTTGCTATTATAAAAAATGGTTTACTTAGGCGTATAAATAAAAGCCTTTTGTGTACTAATTAGCGTTTATAAAAATGGCTTTATTAGGGAAATATATAAAATCATCTTTTGTGTACTAATTTCCATTTACAAAAATGGTTTTCTTAGGGCGTAAATAAAAGCATTTTTGTGTACTAATTTGCTATTATAAAATGGTTTACTTAGGGCGTATAAATAAAAGCCTTTTTGTGTACTAATTAGCGTTTATAAAAATGGCTTTATTAGGGAAATATATAAAATCATCTTTTGTGTACTAATTTCCATTTACAAAATGGCTTTCTTAGGGACGTAAATAAAAGCATTTTTGTGTACTAATTTGCTATTATAAAAATGGTTTACTTAGGCGTATAAATAAAAGCCTTTTTGTGTACTAATTAGCGTTTATAAAAATGGCTTTATTAGGGAAATATATAAAATCATCTTTTGTGTACTAATTTCCATTTACAAAAATGGTTTTCTTAGGGACGTAAATAAAAGCATTTTTGTGTACTAATTTGCTATTATAAAAATGGTTTACTTAGGCGTATAAATAAAAAAAGCCTTTTTGTGTACTAATTAGCGTTTATAAAAATGGCTTTCTTAGGGAAATATATAAAATCATCTTTTGTGTACTAATTTCCATTTACAAAAATGGTTTTCTTAGGGACGTAAATAAAAGCATTTTTGTGTACTAATTTGCTATTATAAAAATGGTTTACTTAGGCGTATAAATAAAAGCCTTTTTGTGTACTAATTAGCGTTTATAAAAATGGCTTTATTAGGGAAATATATAAAATCATCTTTTGTGTACTAATTTCCATTTACAAAAATGGTTTACTTAGGCGTATAAATAAAAAGCCTTTTTGTGTACTAATTAGCGTTTATAAAAATGGCTTTATTAGGGAAATATATAAAATCATCTTTTGTGTACTAATTTCCATTTACAAAAATGGTTTACTTAGGCGTATAAATAAAAGCCTTTTTGTGTACTAATTAGCGTTTATAAAAATGGCTTTATTAGGGAAATATATAAAATCATCTTTTGTGTACTAATTTCCATTTACAAAAATGGTTTTCTTGGGGCGTAA